GTGTGTGTGTGTGTGTGTGTGTGTGTGTGTGTGTGTGTGTGTGTGTGTGAGAAAGATAGAGACAGAGACAGAGAAAGAGAAAGAGAGAGAGAGAGAGGAGAGGGGAGAGAGAGAGACAGAAAGAGAGAAAGGCAGAGAGAGAGACACAGAGAGAGAGATACACACAGAGAGAGAAACAGAAACAAGGCTGTAAATAAAAAGAAAGGAAGGGGGAAGCTAGGTGGCACAGGAGATAGAACACCAGCCATGGAGTCAGGAGGACCTGAGTTCAAATCCAGCCTCAGACACATGACACTTACTAGCTGTGTGACCCTGGGCAAGTCACTTAACCCCATTGCCTAGCTAAAAAAAGAAGAAGAAGAAGAAGAAAGTTTACAGTAAGAAAATTGGAAAGTTGGGAGGAGGGAAGTTGTGACAGTCTTTAGACACTACAATTCTATCAATCACTCTTGAGGAAATGCTTCCTTCTGTCAGGACACAGATGCGGGGCTATGGCTGTGGAATGTGGCTGATGCTTCCACACATACCCTTCGCTTTGTTGGTTGGTTTTGTTTAAAACTCTCTTTGTTATGACAAATGGGCTCTTTGGGATAAGCAGAAATGTCAATAGTCTTTTTTTTTTAAGGGCACAATCATGTTTTTAAAGGATCACTTATGACTTTCAGGCTGCTGTGTCATGTGGGATGGAGCTTAGAATTCCCTCCAGTAACAAATAAAACAACGGGGAGTGGAGATAATTGTACCAAACATAGAAAGGGGTCACTCACTTTGCACCTGGACCAGCCTTGTAGAAGAGCCCAAAGGAGAAAGAGCGGGTAACCTCGGTCCTCACTTCCCAGGTACAACTGAGCTGTTTGTGTCCGTCGAAGAAGCACTGGAGATTCTTGGGCTGAGCTGCATCCCCTGGGAAGGCAGCTCGTTAAACTTCTCTGAAGTGAAACCAGCCCCTTGCCAGGGCTGGAGCAAGGACCCACGTCCAAACACAGTGAATGGTTTTCGGCTTGTGGCCTGACTCCCTCTCCTGGAGACACTAGGGATTCGCCCACATTCCTAGCATCATCTGGGAGCCTGGAGGTCTTGGAAGAACTTAGTGTAAAGATGGCTGGAGGCAGCCTGGTGCCCGGTCCCTGTGCTGACAGCACGGTGCCAGCCCCTGCCTGGCTGCTGAGCTGCTCTCTACATCTGGAAAAGTCCTTTAATCTCCCTGGGTCTCAGTTTCCTATTTTAGGAAATGAAAATATTAACTCTCCATTGTTCTCAGGGACATAGTGAGGAATTAACCAAAGACTATGTTTAAAGGAGCTTGGAAGAAAGGAAAAGCCCCATCTCATTGCAAGGAGCTATTGCTTGTACTGTGGTCTGGTTAGAGATAAATATATTACCGTATTTGGAATGATAGGATGTCAAAATAGGTTGGGGTCTCAGAACACAGAATGTCAGAGCTAGGAGGGGCTTTAGAACAGGGGATGTCAGAGCTGGGAGGGGTCTTAGAACACAAAACATCAGAGATGGGAAGGACCTTAGGATAGCGATGTCAGAGTTTCCCACAGGGTGGTGTGGGTGGTCTTATCCCTTTCTCTCCCTTTGTACCTTGCCCAGCTCAAGCTGCCTGTGGCCAGGCAGGAAGAATGCTTGGATGAGCAAGCAGGCACCAATTACACCTTCCATCAAGATGAAAGGTCTCAATACCTTGTCACTGATCCTGCCAAGGAGTCTGCAGGTCCTCTGGGCCACACCATCTACCCTGCCATTATGCCCTCTGGACCCCTGGTTACTACCATCTGATCTATTGCTAACTCTGAGGACCCCTGGACCTTTTCATCCACCCTGAAGCTTAACTCTTTTTACATATCATCTTTTCCTTTAAAATGTGAATTCCTTGAGAGCAGGGACTATCTTGATTTTCAATTTGTATCCTCCAGAGGGTTTTTAACATAGTAAGCATTCAATAATTTTTTTGTTCCTTTATTCATTCCTTATTCCCAGGCCAGTAGGGTTAGAGGAGAGGACCATAAAGTTAGAAGCTATGAGACCTTAAGAAGGTCATCTAATCCATCATCCCTCATCAATCAATCAATAACTGAGGCCCAGCCAGGATAAGTAACTGTTCCAATACCACACAGCTACTGAGTAGCAGTGCCAGAATTTGAACCCAGGTTCTCTGGTTCCCAATCCAGCATTCTGACTCTGCACCAGGCTGCTTTTCAAAAGTCAATCCCGGGGAAATGGACCTTGGAAGAGCGTAAGGAGCCCCTTCCCTCTGCCTCCCAAGACCTGGGGTGGATCTGTGTCCCCATAGTTACCTTTCTGAGATTCCCAGGGAACCTCAGAACTCCACAGGCTGGTATGTCCTCTAGATGTCTTGGCCCGAACTCGGGCCACGTAGAGGTTGTCAGGAATGAGGCCATCATACCCAAGGGGAACTTGGGCCATGGAGGATTCCATTGTAGAAGCCTCCTGTTGGTGGATTGAAAAGAGAAGTCAGATCAATGCTGCTGCAGTAGGTGGAGGTTGGAGAGGGAAGGTAGAGGCTCCTTGGATGGCTGGGGCTGACCTGGCCTCACCAGGTAGACATTCCATACCTCCCATGACTCCCATTGTCTCTTGTAAGCCACCTGGAACGTCAGTCCCACCAGGGATGACTGGAGGCTCTGGGTCCAGCTTCTGGGCATCGCCCATGAAAGCAGGAAACCTTCAGTTCCATTCTCCAAAACCTCGAGATTCTCAGGGGCAGGAGGCAGAACTGGAATCAGAGAGTGGGAGAAAGTAGTTATTTCAAAGACCTGGTTTGAAGACACAACAAAATTCCTAAAGCCACCCTTTTTGTGAACAAAGAACTGGAAAAGACATAGATGATGCCCACTGCCTGGGGAACAGTCCCAACGTTCCATGAACTCAAGAGGTAATTACTGTACTGGAAGAAGTGATGGGGATGTCACAAACTGAGAAGTGTTGGGAGACTCTTAGAAACGGGAAGCTACGTGGCAAAAGAAACAGAACCGGGAAAACAATATGCCCCAAATCACAGCAACAAAACAAATGGAAAAAAGGAAAATTTTAAAACAAATGAATAGACATTGAATTAAATACGCTGTGAGTAAGGGCCAAGCTTGGCCCAGAGAAGAGGTTAAAAAAAAATTGTGCTTCTCCCTCTTCTTTGCAGATGGGGAGGTCTATGGGTGTGAAATATGGCACATAATGCCAGACTCAGTTTATTTAGTTAGTTTGCTGAATTGTGTTTTTTTTTTATTTTTCTTCTTGTTTTAAAAACTCCCTATAACAGAGGATGGCTTCTTGGAGAAGAGGGGAGGGGAAGCATATCTTCAAAAATGAAGAGAAGATAAAAATAAAAAATAAAATAAAATAAAAACTATTAAAGTTTTGTTTTTTTGTTTTTGTTTTAAAGAACTGGGTGGTATGAAGAGAAGAGACACTAAATTCTTCTCCCTAAGTTTTCAATGCAGTCTCAGGTCTAGTGTGAGAAATCCAGTTTAAGGAGTTGCCTTCTCTCTGTACCCTGGAAGCTGTCGTTGATCGAATGAAAATCTGGGGGGTGGGGTGCTCTCAATCAATGAACAGCCATGATTTCAATTCAATAATCTTGCCTTAGCCTGCACCCATGGATACAGGTCTCTTCAAACTCTAAGTTTAGTACTAGGAAATTCATACTAAGGGATTAGTGATCATTATTAATGAGGATGTCCTTCTCTGAGTTTGATTTTTTATTTTGATAAGTGATTTTCGCCCAAGGTTATAATGGTGCCAAACTTGAAAGGGAGATATCTTTTGCCCACTCCACCTCAACCAGCTGCCATACAAAACCACCCCCATTCTCAGTCCCGATCCCCACATCCTGGCTCCCCTCTGGGCCTGCCCATGCCAATCCTATCTACCCAGGAGAAGGAGCATAGAAAGGAACAGCCTCCCTTCTTTCCCTCCCTCTCTCTTTGCCCCACTCACCATTCTGGGTTAGGTTGATGCTAAGCTGGAGCTCCAGTGGATGATCTGCTTTGAAGCTAAAGATGTCGACTTGACTTGTAACAAAAACATCCTGGTGAATGAAGCAAGTCCTGGGTATGCAGGATTGGAACTGGCAGGTGGGCAAGGACGTGTTCCGCTCAGGGTCACAAAAGACTTGCTTTGGTGGCTCGTTACTGGTAGAAAGAAGATATGAATGATCTGTGGGATTCAGGCTCAATATCTGATGACTTCTGAGGTCTTCTCCCAACTAAGAGAAGCTAAGACTGTGGCCAGGAGCCCAGACAAAGAATTCAGGGGCTGTCTTTTGGCTTTGTTTGTATTGCCAGCACTTAACACAGTGTCTGGCACGTAGCAGTTACTTAATACGTGTTTTTTGACTAAGTGAATTTGAAAAATTAGAAGGGACACATAGAATCAGATTCAGGGACCGCTCAGCCCCAGATCATAACAAGGATGTCTCTAACAAAGGTGGACACTCAGTGGAAAGGTCTGATCCTCTTCCTTAAATTAATCAGGCTTCAAGAGTAGGAATCCTTGATTTCCCTCTGAGATATATTTAGGAAATTTCTCTTTTCTTGGAATCTGTGGTATTGTGGAGTGAGCACTGGTTTTGTAGTCACATACGTGGATTTAATGCTCCCTCTGTTGTATACTGACTGTGTGGCCTTGGACAAGTCACAATCTCTGAGTCTCATTTCATTCCTATGAGGTCCCTGCCAACTTTACTTCTGGATTCTATGATCCTTTTTTCAAGTGGTTTATGGGGATTATAAGAATCTCCTCTATCAGCACAACCACCAATGGAAGGAGCTGGATCCATGCCCATCCACCTTTGACATGCTTTGAAAAGTGCCTTAGAGTATTTTGCATAAACTAACTCAGCTGCCCCAGAGAAACATGGCGAAAGAGGAAAGTAAATGGGGAAAGAGTAGGAATACCTTGGTGAATTCTTTAAAAATTCTTGAAAAGGTACTACTGAGGGGGAATGTGTGCTGTTCAGGTGCTCAAAGAGGATGTCAAATTGAAATTTATGATTCTATAAGGTGGATGTGACCAAGGCTAGAGAAAAGGTGATCAAGGATAGGAAAACCCTCCAGTTTCTGTTCCCTTGAAAGTAGATTCAACTATGTTTTAAAAATCAAATTAAGAAACTTTATTATTATCACTGTTCTTCAAAGAGAAGACTCTTCAGTCATTTTCAGTCATGCCTGACTTTTGATGACCTGATTTGGGGTTTTCTTGGCAAAGATACTGTAGTGGTTAACCATTTCCTTCTCCAGCTCACTTTAGCATTCTAGCAAATCCAAACACTAACCCTCTCTCACCTTTCTGGGGCACAGTAGACTCTAAGATATCTTCCATTTAGACTTTTTCTCTCTCTTCTCTCCCTCTCCAAACTCCATCCATCCTAGTCCTGGGCCTGGCCCTGTAAGAGAGATGCTTTCTTCCCTCTTCCCTCTGGAACCCTGGGGGCTCAGATACTCACTCATACATTTGGCGGAAAAGAGTCAGGTTGAGGTAGCGTTGGGCATCGGCAACCTCCTCCCACTGACAGATAATCCTAGTCCTGAAGTCATTATTGCAATTTAAGGTCTGAAGGGGAATGTTTTCTGAGAATCAAAAGGGAAAGAAGAAGACTAGTCATTACTTTCTCATCTACCATCCTCAGTTACAGCATGACTCCTTCTTGCCACCGCCATAACCAAGGACCTCTTCTAAGCTTGTCAATTTTATCTATACTCATTAGTGTACATTTCATCTCTTCTGATAGAATGGAAGCTTCCTGTGGGCAAGGATTGTTTCATTGTTCCCAGTGTCTAACACAGTGCCTGACAAGTAGTAGGTATTTAATAAATGCTTATTAATTGATTGGTTACAAGAACAGTCAGTCAACAAGCATTTATTAGATGCCTACTATGTGCCAAGCACTCTGCTAAGCTTTTGGGAATATAAAAAAAAAATCAGTCCCTTCTCCCAAGCACTTCACTGTCAAGACTCTTCCAGAATTCTCTAAAAGCTCCTGATTTCCAGGTTGATAAACATCTCTAGAAAGGACCGTGGATCTCCGAGGATGCTGAAGCTACTTACTCTCCTGTGCTCCGATGTCTTTGACATTACAAACCTCCTTCCCTAGTTCCGTCCCCCTTTCTCTTGGAGCCTCGGGAAAGCATACCCCACTGGGGAAGCCAAATGGTTGTGGAACCATCATCTCTGCCCATCTCCCTTCACCTTCCCAGTAATACCTGGAAAAGTCTCCAGGAATTAGGAAATGCAGACATCCAACATATTCTTCAACTTCCTTGAAATGAAAGGAATCTGGGGGAGGGGGGGGATGAGAAGATTCCCCTGGAATGTTCCCAATGGTCAAACCATTTACCTCTCCATGGCCCCACCTGGGAACTCTGCCCAGGCTCTGGCAGGGACATGACAGAAAGGAGGGCAGACAGAACAAAACACACACACACACACACACACACACACAGAGAGAGAGAGAGAGAGAGAGAGAGAGAGAGAGAGAGAACATCTGTGTTGGGAAGAATAAAGTGGAAGGGAAAAGGAAAAAAGATTAGCAAAAAAGTAGCTTATATCATAGTATCATAGGATTTAGAGGTGGGAGAGGCCTTAGAACAGGGAATGTCAGAGCTGGGAGGGCCTTAGAACATGGAACGTCAGAAGTGAGAGGACCTTTGGAAAATAGGATGTCAGAGACAGAAGGAGCCTTTGAGACCATCCAATTTCCTCATTTTCCAGATGAGAAAACTGAGTCCTAGAGAGGTGAAGTGATTGATTAAGGCCATGCAATCAAGTGATGAACAAACATTTATCTGGCACCACCTGTATGTCAGGCCCCGTGCTAGGTGCCGGAAAGACAAATAGGAGCCAGTCCTTGCTTTCAGGGAATGTACGCAATGTTAGAGGAGTTAAGCAGCAAAGCCTCGGCTCCAAAGTAGATCCCAGAATCTAGATCCAATGAGTATGTGTCAGGGAAGGGAGGAGAGGAGGAGTGGGAAGGAAGGTCCTCAGACTGGAAAAGAGGTAAGTACATTTCCCTGAGTAGGAGGAAGGGAAAGGAGGAGAAAGCCCTGACCTTGGATGTCACTCTCTGTGGAAGCCCAGGACACAGCCAGAAGGATGTTGAACACCCCCCTCCAGGCCACCTCCATCTTCAGGGCCGAGCTAGGCCAGGATGACTCCAGGATGGCAGTCCCTGTCCTAGGGCTCAGCTGGAGGCCTGGGTCATCTCCTTGCTCACAGCTTGTCCTCTTCTCTCACGGGGACTCACAGGGTGGGTTCCATTTCCTTGGGATTCTGGCTCATTTCCCCAGGACAGAAGCCAGCTACTGTGACCATAAGGCCTGAATAGAGAGAAGTTAGGTGTTGGGCAAGGCCCTACTTGAGTCTACTCTGGCCTGCAGCTGCAGAGACCAGAGGGGAAAAGAAAAACTTCTTGCTGGGGTCTAAGACACCCAACTCCCTTCCCCAGACCCCTTCCCAAAGCCGGATGAGGATCTAAGCTCTACAACAAGGACCACCTTCTCCTCCACACTGGGATAAGCTGTGAGAGTGTAATAATAAGAATAACCAACATTTCTATAGCACTGGGGCTGAGTGAGGTTGTGACGTCCCCGTATCACACTTGCTAGTATCACACAGCTAGTATCAGAGGTGAGATTTGAATACCGGTCTTCCTGAGTTCTAGACCACCACCATTCTAGACACTGCCTCACAACTGAAATGGGAATCTCACTGAATTCAAATCTCAGCCTTGTTGCTTATTAGCTATGTGACCCAGAACAAGTCCCTTAACCTCTCTGACCTTCAATATCCTCCTCTATAAAAAAAAAAGGGATTGGTCAGGGATAGGGAACCATCAGCCTCGAGGCCACATGTGGCCCTCTGGGTTCTGAAGTGTGACCCTTTGACTGAATGCAAACTTCATAGAACAAATCCTTGGGATTCAAATTCAGTCAAAAGCCTGCACTTGAGGACCTAGAGGACCACATATGGCCTCGAGGTTGCAAGTTTCCCACCCCTGGATTAGATAATCTCCAAATTACTCTGTAGATCTAGAATCCTGTAGTCCTACAAGAGAAACACATTAGGGAGACATACTGTCTATAATTTGATAATTTGAGACCTTGGGCAAGCCACTTCCCTTTTCCTGAATGTGTTTCCCTATCTATCAAGTGAGTTGGTTGGACTAGATGACCTCTAAGGTCAATTTAACTCAATAATTAATTCAATGGACATTTAAGCAGCACCTACTGTTTACTGTGTAAGGTATTCCACTAGGCAATCTGGATCAAAAGACAAAAAAAGAAGATTTCATCCTACATGAGTTGAAGGTGGGGGCAGGAGGACACTGCATGTACACAAATGTATAAATAAGTCATTTGAAGAGAGAAAAGTAAAACTAGAGAGAGGAGGTGGCTCAAAGAAGACTTCCCAGAAAAGGAGAAACTTGATCTAAGCTTTAAAGTAACATAAGAATTCTGAAAAGGAGAGATAAGAACAAAGTCATTCTGGTATTGGAGGATTAAATAAATGTTTATCACGTGGGCTTTAGGTGAACTGGACTTGGTGCTAGGGCTGCAAAGATGAAACAAAGTCCCCAAGGTGTTTACAGTCTGGCAGCAATGAGACAAAGGATGGAGACATAACATGACAACTCATGACACTGTGTTAGGAGAGACCTAGCAGTGGTTTAAGGAGTTTAAGATAGATTACTTGTAACTGTAGGAGAAGGGAAGATTCCAGCAATTGTCACTTCCTTTTCTGAATGCTCAAAACCATCCCTTTAATTATATGGCCAAAAATTTGTCAGAAATCTAAGCAGAGCTCATTGGCTTTCATCTTAGAGGGAGAGGGGAAGAGAGAGAGAGAGAGAGAGAGAGAGAGAGAGAGAGAGAGAGAGAGAGAGAGAGA